GCCTTGTGTCTGTAATCTCTTCGAGTCTCCTTTTTATCAGTTTCTCGAAAAGTTTCTACATTGTGTTGATCAGGCACAAGGGCCTGAAGGACCTTTCAGCTCTATCGTCCTTGCCTGGTTTTTCGATGAGAACCAGCCTAGCCTCCTTTCACATTTTTGGGAAGTTGCCGTCGACCAGGCATTTGTTGAACACCCGCAGTATCAGCTCCCCTTGAGCTTTGACACGCGACACTTCTACACACGGAGCGCGCCGCATATGGACACCCAAGCCCGATTTGGTCCCGAACTCCCTGCAGCACTGACAAGGGAATTTAGAAGCTGGGACGGGTTCGGGTGGGGTAAGTTGGTGAGACGGGCCAGAGGGCTCGTCTCGTTTCATCCGAGGCTGGTTTTGATTCTTTGGGCCACCTTGAGACGGTCGAGGGGGCTGGCAACCCCCAGGATCGGAAGCCTTTGCAGATTTGGCCACCGCTCGCCGTTCGTATGTTGCATACGCTCGTAGCGCGGTGTGGATAGCGAGAACCTAGTAGGGGTACTGCATTAGGCACGTCTATGATCAGCTGTCCATTGAAAGAGAAGGTCGTGACTTGACTAGAACCTACAAGTTACTCTATAGCCACCAGGGTTGCTGCCTATCTGGACCGTAACTTTCGCCGGCCAAGAGACTCATAGTTACTCCCGCCATCAATGACGACCTCGGGGGGTACAGTGTCCGGACCAGGGGCTTTCTTTTTCTTAATTTCTGAAGCCGCCCTGTCCTCCAGCCTAAATGTTGGAATCTTTCCCTTATCAATATCGTGGCGTTGCCACTGAATGACCGGGAAAGTCGGGAAGAGTTTTTCCACTTGGGTTTTTACGTCCAGTGCCGTCGGAGGCTTGAACATTCCGAATTTTTTCTTCACAATCTGGTAAGCGCGCCACCAGATGTTCTCAAGGTCGTCAATCAGCTCTCTCCATTTCGCCTGCTTACTCCGCTGGATCAGGCTCCTGAGCGCTTTTCTCTCCGTTGCGTGGATGTCCTTTAGAGCCCTGATGTCATGGGCTTCGCTTGGTATTTTCTTCTTTGCCCTTGTGAGCTTTCTCCTTAATCTCATGCACACCCTCCGCTTACCAGCGATTTCTTTGTTCCACCTCTTGGCTGTGGGCGACCTCTTTAGCAATGTGCTTTCGCCAACCGAAGTTATCGTTTTCATCAGCTCTTCCGGGGTGACGATGTTGGGGAACTGCTGGACGCGAAGTGAGAGGGCTTTGGAGAACTTCTCTGCTGTAGTTAGTAGTAGGATTCCCAGTCTATATCCACGAGTTTTGTGGCTGGATTTGGCTGCTCCGGGGTCCTGGTCCATTGCAATAGCTGTAGGTGATGCTGTGGTGGTCGCTCAGGTTTTCCTCCTACGTAAGCACCTGCCAGCTACTGACCTTTCCCCTACCGTAACGTCAATTAGGGATTTCCCCTTCGATCCTGAGAAGGTTGGAGTGTTTCCTCTATTGGCGGCCACCAGGTCGTTTGCTGACATCCAGTCCTCCAGTAGCGTCCCTCTGACGTGCCGAGGGGTAGGGGCAAATCCGAAGCACTCACTCGTGGCCGAATGCGGAGGCGACGGAGTTGATGCTGCGCACTCGGTTGCTTCTTTATTACGAATTAATTGGGTCATCGCGGATTCCGCGGAAATGATGTCCCTGGCGTGGTCTTCTTCCCCACAAGTTGTAAGTTTCAGGATCTCACGGAAGTCCCGCTCCATGAGTAGGGTTGGGCAAGGGAGTAACGACAATACAAAAGTTGGGCCAGGGGGACCCCTTAGGTCTGGGCCTTTCTCTTGGCTAACTCCCGTACAACGTACGAGCACGGAATGCGGCGAGGAAATATACGATAAATAAATACGCACTATATAACAATGCTATCGCTGAAAATGGCTACTAAGGGAGGACAACTACCCTAGCTTGACTTTGACTGAGTTTTTTGATTGGAGGCGCGAAGTCTCCTTCTCGCAATCACGACAATCTCGCTCGAGGGGAAGGAACAGGGGGAAAAGATCACCTCAGTTACCCACACAGGTTGTTCCACTGACCGGGCTCACGATAGCAAGCCTTAAGCGGTAATTGTCATCATTGGCAACTTATGGGAAGTGGGAACAGGGAACTGAGGGGAGCATGGGTCCTAAAAAAAATGACACTCTACACGCGGTAGAGTTTGCACACACGGAATCACAATTTCACTTAAACACGTAGTGTCGAAGAAGGGGAGCACGCGGTCCAAGATGCGGGGCGTTGCAGAGCAGCACGTGGTTCTGCGAAGAAAAACAGGCGCGCGGTTCAAGATGCAGGGCGTTGCAGGGCAAGACGTGGTTCTGTGAAGAAAAACAGGCACGCGGTCCAAGACGCCAGGGTGATGCTGGGAAAGCGCTGCTGGAGAGCACGTGGTGCGGGCGTTGAAATGGGAAATCCCGATCACAAGCTCACAAAATCTTAAAACCGATCACTATTGACTGCACAGAAAACCGAACTTCGAAAGGGTCGAGGTCGAGGTCGTTGCGCAGCTTCTCAAAGTCCTCATTGTCGCCGTTTGGTGAGAAGTAAACAGAGAATACTGATAGGTCCTCCAGCTCGACCCCTACGTAGCCAGTTCCCCTGAACTCTCTTTACTCTGAGGCCTCTGCTGACGTTGATGAAGACGTCCCTGGCATCGTCGCATAGTGTAGTGTTGTGGCTGAGTGCTTTATTCGGTTCCTGCCCTAGTGTCACGTTTGTGTTGTCTTCAAACATTTTCCTGCACATGAGGTCATACGCTTTGCGGCATCTGTTGAGATTTACCTGCAGAAAGCGCATGGCCGTTTCGCGTTGGTCAGCCGTGGTGTGGAGGGGCTGCGCGGTTGCTTTCTTGAACTTCTTCATATTAGTTGGGGGAAGCAGGCCGGTCCACCGCTTCTTGCGTACTGGCCTGCTGTAGCTCTGCTCCCTTGCTATTAAGCGCCTCTGTGGTTCTGGGCTCCCTTCTTGTAGGCGTCTGAGCCTCCTTCCTTAGCGCCTTCTTTACTTCCGTCAGAGAAGCCTTGAAGGCGTCACATTAGCCGCTTCCGGCTCTGTGCCCCTTCTTTTGGCATATGGGACAGCTCGGCTCCTTGGTGCACTCCCTAGTTTTTTGCCCTGCTTCCCCACAGGCGAAGCACAGTTTGGATCGGTCCGTCCCTGTGCATTTCTGCCGCTGGTGCCCGTAGTTCCAGCATCTGCTGCATCTTTGCAGATTGATCCGGGTCTCCATGCTGCACATGACCAGTCCTATTTTGATCCGTTTTTCGCATAGCAACTCCTTTGCCATACCCCTATCGATCATTAGGGTCACGGCTTGTGTATTATTGATGTTTGGCCTTAAGTCGCTTAGGCTGTAGTCGTCCTCCTTAATTTGATCAAACTTCCTGCGCAGAGCGGCAACTGCGTCCTCTTTAGAGCCCTGTGATTCCAGGCCTCTAATGTGGATGGGTTCCCTGGCCTTCTGATTGCCCACGACTTTAATGTTTTCCGCGCCGTCGTTGTTGCGTTGAAGCGTGCTACTTAACTTCTCCACAATGCCTACTTGTCTCTCCGTTGTAATTACAAGCCGGCCGTCTTTGGTGCTGCGCAACGCCTTTACACCCTCCCCAAGCTTGTTAGTCGTGAGAATCTCCTTAACGCCTCTCAGGGTTTTCTCGTAGGTTTTCCCCTTGTTACTCACAACTATGGCGAAGGTATTCGGTGAGTTCCTTTGCCTGTGTGTGGCTTGCGATGGCGTGGGCTGGCTTGGCCCATTTGGCCTGGTGTAAATAACCACTTTGCTTGTGGCATTGTGGAATATTCCTTCCAGCATTTTTCTCAGCGTTCCGGATTTTATACCCCTGGTTTGATGCGTCGCTATCACGTGTTCCCCCGTCGTCTCTTTCCTCAGGCGCGTAAGCTTGTTGAAGAGGTCTTCCTCGCTGCTGTATGCGATTTTGACCGTCTTCTTGTTGATCATAATGGCTGGCGACTTTGTTTTCCACGTTTGTAATTGCATCCGTGTTGACTG